CATCATGTTTTCTAATAGAGAACATTATTAAATCACATATAGAACATCACGGAAAATTTATATCAGAAAATCACATATAGAACATCACGGGACATTATGTGATTTCCTAAAATGAATATTGTAACTATATATATTAATGGTGAAAAATATGAAAGAAATAAAAAAAAAATTTGAAAACTAAAATTTTGAAAATGAAATTTATAAATTTAAATTTTGAAATTTTAAAACGAAATTTTAAATTATTTTTAGGTGAAACAATTTTAGAGAATAAAAATAATTTTTTTTTATAAAGAACATTATATATTCATATAAAGAACCTCATAAAAAGTACACAGAACAATCATTAAAATAAAAAATATAACTTAATACTTTTTAAATTGGTGAAAAAATATGAAAAGAATATTTTTTTCAAAGAAAGAGAACGAAATATAGTATTTTGGATAATAAGATTTTGAAAATGAAATTAAAATTTTTATTTTAAAATTCATAATTTGAAATTCCCAAGACAACTGCCTTTTAACTTTTAATTCAGGTGTATGGTACACCTGGGTGTAGGAACCACACATTGCATTTTATAAATGTGTTTTATAGTACTACGGAGTATATAATTAATAGCATAGAGAAACGCATAACTAGATGTGCCAAAATGAGTTATTAATGTTCACAATTAAAGTTATTGTATAGTGTTCACTAGACCTGGCAAATGGGTCATTCAGGTCGGGTATGGGTCGGGTCATTTTCGGATCAAAAGGTTATCGAGTCAAGTTCGGGTCAGGTCATTTCGGGTCTCGGGTTGATTTCGGGTCGAGTGATAATCGGGTCGGGTCGGGTATCGGGTCAACACTTCGGGTCGAGTTTGAGTCGGTCAAGTTTGGGCCGGGTCAGTTTGGGTTGGGTCAATTTTCGGGTTGGGTCAATTTTCAGGTCAAATTCGGGTGACGCATTGGGTTACACATTACAGATTAATAAAAAAAAAATTAAGTCAATTTGATTACGGTTTTTTTTTTTCGGTTTGCTAAGGTCAAGTCTTTAGCTTAAATGAATTATGGTCATTTCAGGTATAAGATAATTTTGGTTCGGGTCACTTGGGTTTCGAGGCTATTTGGGTCAATTTATTCAATTTAAAGGTCGAGTCAACTTCAAGTCTCGGGTCAACTTCGGGACGGGTCATTTCGGGTCTCGGGTCAACTTCAGGTCGGATCATCTCGGGTCAGGTCGTTTCGAGTTTCGGGTCAAGGTCGGGTCAATTCCACTTCGGGTCGGGTATGGGTTTCGGGTCATGGGTCGGGTCATCGGGTCTGGGTCAGGATTGCCAGGTCTAGTGTACACCAACATTGAGCATGGGCGGATGCAAATAGCATCAAGGATGGATTTCCCTTATACAATTAAAGTTATTGTATAATACTCCCTCCGTCCCTTAATACATTGCCTCTTTTGAGCATTTATTACTCACATAATAAAGAGAAAGAGACATTGTATTTAGGGACGGATGAAATATAACATACTCTATTCATTTCAAATTACTCCCTCCTGAAAGAACGATCCTTTTAGGTTGATTTCACGAGTGTTAAGAAAGTACGGAGTAATAAAGATAGTAGTAAATTAAAATTACATTGGAAAGAAAAATTGCATGGGGTTTGTAATAAAGTAGAGAGAAAAAGTAATAAATATACATGGAAAAACAAAATTTAGAATGTATTTTTAATGCACATGGAATGATCATTTTAGGACTAAATTTAGGCCATAAGGGTCATTTTTTCAGAGACGGAGGGAGTACTAAATTTGGAATAGTTATCTTTGACTTATGTAAAACTTTGACCATCAATTAATATCTTTAAACCGACTTAGGTTATAAAGGGCTAATAAAGTGGATTTTTTTTTACGAATAATACCTACGAAATTATACATTAAGATAAACCAAACATTGAGTTAAAGTAAAATACAGTCCCTGAACTTTGATATTTGTAGCATTTCAATCCCTCGACTTTCAAATGAGGCAAAAAGGTTCCTCAATCACCCAAGCATCACCCTTTCTGGTGGAGGAAAAGCTTAATTAGTAAAGTTTAGGGACTTCCAAGCCAACTAAGCAAAGTCCAGAAACCATTCAATATGATGTGTAATTTATTTTTATTTTTTTCAAGAAAAACTTTAGGGACATTGTTAGATCACAAATTAATTAATTAAATTAAATATAAACAAAAGCTTAGGGATTTAGGCTCCGTTCACTTCACATTATTTTCACTGAACTAAATTTTTTTTATTGAACTGAATTTTTTACTGAACTAAAATTAATTTTACTGAACTAAAATTATTTTAAATGATTTTTATTATATTTCTTCTTTAAGTTTATTGTTTTTTACTGAACTGAAATTATTCTAATAGGGTTTCAATTTTTTTTTTTGGGTTTTTGTGTGTCAATTTTCAAGTTTTTTTTTCCTCCTCCTCTATGTTTATGTTCTAAATAATTTTCTTTTTTTTTTGTTTGACAATTTTTTAGGGTTTTTTTTTTCTTGTGTTAATTTTCTAGGAGAAAATAATAGTTACCATAAATTATTAACTAAATGAGTACGAACTAAGAAGAAAATTTTCTTTTACAAACAAATTTTGTATTATATAGGAAATTTTAGATTTTAACACCATATAAAAACCCGAAAATGGTTTTTAACACCTCCATAAAAAAATGATTTTAACACCACAAAAACTAACAAAAAATGGGTATTACCACCACTTTACGGATTCTTAAACGGAATCAGTTAAGTGCCACGTGTCGCTTTCTTATTGGCAAAAAAAAAGACCTAAAACTACCCAGCCACCCCAACCCCGCCGCCGCGCCACCAACACCTTACCACCCACCCACCCCTGCCCTCCCAAAAACCACCACCAACGACGCCTTCGCTCACCCAACCTAGCTGAAACCTCCCCCTCCCTTTCCCGCAACCGCTTCGCCCCCAAAAACCACCTAACCCAAAACCCTCCTTCCCTAATACGGTCACGATTCCGGCCAAAAATGGTCGAAATTGGCCGATTAAGGCAACTCAACCCCAACACCGGCCGATTTCGTCCATTTGTGGCCGGAATCGCGACTGTATTCGGGAAGGAGATTTTGGGTTTGGTCGTTTTTGGGGGCAAAGCCATTGCGGGAAGGGAGGGGGAGGGTTCATCTGGGTGCGGTCGGTGGTGGTTTCGGGGAGGGAAGGGGTAGGTCTGTGGTTGGCGATGGTGGGGCTGGGGTGGCTGGGGTAGTTTAAGGGTTTTTTTTTAATTTTTTTAAACAACTAAAATGGTGACACGTTTCACTGAGGACCCCACTTAACGGAATTTTTGGACGGAATCCATTAAGTGGTGGTAATATCAATTTTTTGTTAGTATGTGTGGTGTTAAAATCAATTTTTTCTTATGGAGGTGTTAAAAACCATTTTCGGGTATTTGTGTGGTGTTAAAATCTAAAATTTCCTATTATATATATAGCAAGATTTTAGCGAGATTTCTTAGCAGATTTTAGTGAGAGAAAGTGATGATTAATTTCACACTTAGGGCCTGTTCTCATTGACTGAACTCAGCTAAACTGAACTGAGCTGAATTGAACTGAACTGAACTGAACTGAGCTGAGCTGAGCTAAGCTGAGCCGAGCTGAACTGATCTGAACTAAAATGAATATTTTATAAGAGAAGGAAATTAGGAGCTGAACTGAACTGAACTGAGCTGAGCTGAGTTGAACTGAATTGAGCTGAGCTGAACTGAACTGAATTTCAACGTATGATAACATGCCCTTAAAAATATCTTTCACTTATATATTTTTATAAAGTAAATAATATTAATAAAATTAAATTGGTTTTGTTAATATTAAATTAATTTCATTGAACTAAATTACAATTATGGGTTTCCTAAATAAATAAATAAAAATAAAAAAAATAAAAAAACTTATGGGTTAAAACTTATAATCACTCTTGTATAAGAGCGTCATATGTCGCTAAACTTTGGCCTCTAATAATTACATTAACCACCTCACCCTATAAATTCCTAAACTTACGTTTCTAATTTAGCTAATGCCAACTCATCAGCTAAAAGTCCATAAACTTTGCTTTTCAAATCATTAAATTTATTGCCACATGTGCCTTAAGGTCCCTAGATTACGCTTAGTCAGCTAATTTGTATCTGAAAAGTGAGTCATTGGTAGTTAATGGACCATTTTGTCTCATTTCACTAGTAGAAAAAGGCTCATTTGCGTCGCTCATTTATAGTGTATTTGTGTCGCTTCTATGAGCGACACAACTGCTCGCGACGCAAATGACTTTTAAGTCATTTGCGTCGCTCCTAGGCGCGACGCAAATAAGAATCATTTGCGTCGCTCCTTTATAAAGGAGCGACGCAAATGACTTTTTTGATAAACTTATTTTTTGTCATTTGCGTCGCTCCTTTATAAATAAGCGACGCAAATGACTCTTCTAACAAACTTATTTTTTGTTATTTGCGTCACTCTTTTATAAAGAAGCGACGCAAATAACTCTTCAGATAAAATTATTTTTTGTTATTTGCGTCACTCCTTTATAAAAGAGCGACGCAAATGACTTTTCTGATAAACTTATTTTTAGTCATTTGCGTCGCCCCTTTATAAACAAGCGACGCAAATGACTCTTCAGATAAACTTTTTTGTTATTTGCGTCGCTCCTTTATAAACAATCTTATTTGCGTCAATACAAAACTGTTGTATTTGCGTCACTTGTTTGTTTAATGAGTGACGCAAATGAGGTGAATTTTTTTTTAATTATAATATAATAATTGCCTTGTATATGTTTGTAGTACCTGTTTTCCTAGGTATTAAGTAATATGCTAACGCTAATATAATTGAAATTAAAATGCAATATTATTGAATAATGCAAATGTAAATTTCGGCAGAGTCTCCTTTGTAATTTGGCCTACCCATAAAATTTCCAAACCATGTTTCTTAACCAAATCAACTTATAATACAACTCCAACTTCTAGACTTAAACTTAAAGGTAGAAGTACCTCAACAGCTCAACCTAGAGTTCAAAACGTGGTAACTACTGATTACTGACTATAGTATACAATTTCGCCCAAGCGAGCAAGAGGCATATGGCAGCTTGCCTATTGTGACCAGAAGTGAGACAGAGCCCTTCCATTTTTGCAGGCCGCAACACACTCAAGCACATATTCTATGAGCTTCTTCTGGACTTCTTCCATTGGCAAGCAGGCATCAACCATCTGTTATCATTCAGCATCGTATGAAAATCTAGATGGCATTATTACGGAATTGGATGAAACAACAACTATCTCACAGAATCTAGTTAAAAAACATAATTTACAAAAATAAAAAGAACATTGCAAGAAACTGGAACATGTTTAAGTAAAAGAAAATTAGTATAACCTGCACTACATAATATTGCAGACATCACTATAATGACACTATGCAAGATAAAGTCACCACTGTCAAACTTATTAACCTTACAGCCTTACCAAAATTGTACAGTCTGATGCAAGCTATGAAAAAACTAAGATTTGGTTTAACAGCCATGTCTCAGATCTTACCAAATAAATTAACCAATAAATAACAACATAGAAAGGAATTAGATTCAGCTAAACATAACATCAAACACATGGTATGAAACTCACAAATTATGTATAAAAAACAATCATAAAAAGAAAAAAGAAACAACCTTTTCTCCCAACGATTAGCACTGAACAAAAGATGAATAGTATGATCATCCAAATTAGATTGATTGGAAAGATAAGCAGAGATCATCTGCCCAACAGCAGTATTTCGATCCGGAAACCGCCATAACTCAGCAGAACACCCAATACTTTGCAAGTGAGAGAGAAGCTGAATACACTGAGAGCTCTTTCCACTTCGATCTAACCCTTCTAATACAACCAAAGCACCTCTTGATTGTAAATTGGGGTTTAGGGCAGAAACTTCAATTTTCTTGGAAGAATCATTCTCCATTTTTGTAGCAAAAATTGAACAATTTAACTGAAATTTAACATCCTGGTTTCTCCTCTGTGCTCCTGCAAAGTGCACCCAAGAAATAACTCAGATCAATATTTTGGTAATTAATATCGAAATCCTGCTTCTGTTGCAAAGGAAGATAACTGGGCATAAATTATACATCATTAGTAGTTATTACTTGTGAACTTCACTGTCATGTCTTTTTCTTGTCATCTGCCATGTAAACGGACTATTAGGATCCACACCAGGCTGTGAAATTTCCAAACCATGTTTCTTAACCAAATCAACGTATCTGAAAATTCAATAAAAAAAAATGACAAAAGTTCTGTACTGAATAGCTCAAGACATTAGAGGATATGATGCAGAAAGAGTGCTAACTTTCAGAATCAAAATTATCCACTCCCAAATCTTCGTCCCAGATAAATATGTAATCATATGGTGCCACAATGTCAGGATGTAGAAATCGTTTTGCATACCACCTTTAACCATACAATGAAAGAACGGATCAGTATGATAAAATTGATAATTAATCTGACCCAATTGCCTTAAAAACTAGAGTACTAACCATTTTGCACTAGTTTGCAAAATTACCAAGCAGAGACACAATTATGAATCATGTAAGAATAGCCAAAGTTTGCAAATAAAGCTTACTCAGCACACTCATTAATCTTCCCCGAATTCTGGCTTTCCACAATCTTCAGAATCAAAGACTTGTTTTCATCCAAGTACTGCCAAGATTTAAACCAACCAAAATTTAGAAATCAATAAGAAAAAAATATTTCCAGATGAGAACTAACCAAGCAGTATATATAGATGAAGCGGCTAATAGACTAGAATCATAAGTGAATTAATGTAACAAAGGATGAATATGTCATGCATAACCAAAGTGTATTACAGTACATATCAATTTTTACTTAAGCGTAAGGATCAAATGATCTGCAATTAGCAATGTTTTAGAATCTACCCCGGTAGCCCTAGACTAAGATAAAAAGCAATGCATACAACACCATTCCCTTATATAATTTCATATGTATTAATGTTTTATCAATGATCATTTGATTCACAATAACTTCCTTTTATTCAACCATTTACAAGGGAACATACGGATTCTCTATTTTAATGAATCGGAGATGACAGTTGTTCATGCTTGAGACTTACAAAAAAAAAAATTGAAAATAATAATAATAATAATTCTGGGTTTTTTCCTCCAGATTTAGGCCTTCAAAAGTAGCTTAACAGATAAGAAAACTTGATACTAGGTTTAAAAACAAGTTAAAAACCATCATCACTAAAAAACACTAGTTAAAAAAGTACATTTACACTATTTTTCATTATTAGCCAAATAGTCATAACATTAGTTGAGTAAGAAATACTGACATTGCGTCCTTTTCAATAAAGGTTTAAACTAAATTTCTAATACCAGCAAAACAAAAAGGTCTTACAGAACTGATGAATATGTGAAGACCATTACAGAAGCCGACACCTAAAGCTTCATTATAGTAAATTTTAAGTTTGCTACACTTCAATGATTACACTGACATTTTATACTTCCATTTATATTTATATTTATATTTATATTTATATTTTCATGTTAATTCTTGAATTGCTTGTTGTGGTCCAAGTTCAGAAAAGGTTCAATTTCCAACTGCCGGAAAAGTTAAGTTTGGACCAAAAGGCAGATCTTAGGCCAGGGGTTGAACCATGCTCTTAAGGTATGTTGAACAGCATGCCAGCAATAATCAAGCTGCATGACATTATGTATGATGGATATCGACTTTTCGATGCTTACAAATGCGAGCACGTAAACCTTAATCACCTGTTAGGCTAATTACAACTAAGATAGACATAACAATGTATCACTCGACTGAAGTGCTCGTTCAGCATGCTTCAATAACTAAACCCGAGATCATAATGGACTTTTTAATTGCAATTAAGGCAGTAATAACTTAAATCATCAAGTAATGTACATTTGTACTAGACTAGAATAGATTAAGGCAGTAATAACTTAAATCAAAGTTTGCAAAATTACCAAGCAGAGACACAATAATTATGAATCATGTAAGAATAGCCAAAGTTTGCTGATAGGCTTATCGCGTACCTAACAAAAATAACCTAACTATTCCTTCTAACTGTGTAGTAGGGCAAGTAAGGATCGAATCCCAAGAGACTATGGTTCATTCAATTAATCAGACTCAATTAATCACTAAGCACGTGACCAATCAATAATGGATGATAATAATCAACTAATTTATTAAATAACACAATTAACTAGAGGAAATATTAATCAATAAACTAAAGCATCCAAGATCAAGCATCACCACGATTATGATTGATAAACTAATAAATCTACCCCCAATATATAAATCAATTGACAAGAAGAAAAGCAATCCCTAATAATAATACCAAAGGTCTCTTCCGAGTTATCAATGGCTTCCCAAATTAACTATCAAGCCTACTTCCGTGGAATCAAGCGAATAAGGGACATTAAACACCATGCCTAGATTCCTAATTATTCAATCATCTACTTCCGTGATGATCTTCAAACCCTTAATTGAAATAACCTAATCCCGTTAATACCCAACTTCCGTTGCAATAAGAACAAAGGGATGATAACAATACTAATTATCCCTAATCTAGTATTGGCATAAACACAATCAATTAAGCATGTCAATTGGGATTATTATTGGGGAATTTAAAGATCTACTTTATACATCAATCATAATCGGGCTTAGCAAGATCCCGGATTAAGGAAACTACTCACAAATCATAATTAAATCAAAAACAAGATCTAATAGAGAACACATAATTAAAGAACTATAAAATAAATAAAAGAGATGGAAAGTAAGAAATACCAAATACTTCAATTGATGATCTTGAATTCTTGAGGAACAATTAATAAAACTAGGATTAAAGATTGAAATTGCTTAAGAAAATAAAACTAGGGTTCTTGAGAGTTTTCTAGGGCTTAAGGAGAAAACTAATGAAAAACTAACTGTCTAAAAGTTAATTACAAAAGGGTATTTATACCCCCAAAAGATAATATTTCGGAAAAATAAGAAAATACGCGTTCTTGAGCTTTGCCCGGTCTGACCGGGCGGACCTCGCCCGATCGGGCGGAGGAAGGCTGCGTAAAATACGACAGTTTTCCTTCTTTGCCCGGTCTGACCGGGCGAACCTCGCCCGGTCGGGCGCGCGTAACACGTTTCCAAAATTGCATCTCATAACTTGATTTCTTCATCGCCCGGTCTGACCGGGCGAAGCCTGCCCGATCGGGCGCGCGTTGCACCGTTCAGAATTGGGCTTCTTCCTGTGAACTCCTCATTGCCCGGTCTGCCCGGGCAAGCCATGCCCGGTCGGGCATTCCACATAAATTGCAGTTCTTGGCTATCAACTCTTCCGAATCTACTAAAAACACGTCCAATTGCCTAGAAACGCTTCATATTCCTGAAAAGCTTACTAAAACAATCGAATACACTAAAGAAGAGATTGTTAGCAAGAAATGGCTCCGTAGAGCTCAAAACCATATAAAATTACTAAGTAAAACCGGGGAAAACCATTGTATAAAACACGTATATCATTTGCAAATTAAGCTTACTCAGCACACTCATTAATCTTCCCCGAATTCGAAGCCTTAAACCAAGAAAAGATTGAACATAAATAGAAGCAATCTTACCATAGGTGGAATTGACTTCAAAAATTCAACAATGTCGAGCCGAAATCGAACTTCAATTGTTGTTGTTGTAATTTGCTTGAACTTCCTCGGGTTTTTTGGGGCGAAATTAAGCGATTTTTCCACTCGAAAATTTCAGTTATTGCTCGAATTTTTGTTGCTGTAATTTCTTGACTTGAACCCAGAAAAAGACGTAATTCAAAAAATTATTGTTGCTGTAATTTCTTGACTTAACCTATTGTTGCTGTAATTTCTTGACTGAAATTCGAACAAAAATTATTTATGACTGAAATGGGACGAATTTCTTAGGGTATATTGCGTCGCTTCCAAAAACCCTAGAAATCCCCCCACGAAATCCCCCAATCGAACTTGAAGACCGAAATTGAATTTTTTGGGGCTTTTAGGGTTCGAATTTGTATGCTTTTGAGTTGATTTTTTGCTCGAAATGGGGAATTTTTGGTCGGAAACAATCAATTTTTCTGGGTTTAAGGCTTCGAATTTCTTAGGGTTTTTGGTCTAAATTTTTGCTCGAATTTGCAGCCGATTATGGGTCTTCGACTTCACTGCGATTTCAGATGTTAAATTTGCTGGGGAAACGCAAGTTTTTGGCCGAATTTGTTGGATTTCAGAGACAAATTTGTGGGTGTTTTGCTGTAGAAATTCGCTGGAATTTAAGAACTCTTGTTTTTTTTTTTCTTTTTGTATAGTGAATGTAGGTACCTGATGAAAAACTAAGGTAAAAAACACAGAAAAACCTATAGCCAAAAGAGTTATTTGCGTCACTTTATTATAAAAAAGCGACGCAAATAACCTTGTTTATAATGTTGTACAATGTACATATGCGTTGCTCATTAGTAAAAGAGTGACACAATTTACTTAATCACTTATTTGCGTCGCTTGCTAACTAATGAGTGACGCAAATAAGTTTATTAATTGCGTCGCTTTAATAAATAGGAGCGACACAAATGATAGAAAGCTGAAATGCACTTGAGTTTTGCGTCGCTTCTTAAATAATATGCGACGCAAATAATTTAAAAGGAAGGTAAAATAAAACATTTGCTTCGCTCCTTAGAATGAGTGACGCAAATATGGCGACGCAAATGTACATTTTACTACTAGTGTTTGAAATTTGAGGGACTAAAATGCTATAAATATCAAAGTTCAAGGACTATATTGAACCTTTACTCACTAAACGCCTTATAAACTACGAGTAGTTTTTTAAGACAAGATATACTAGCATTGACCAAATGGTGATTTTAGCGTTAAGTGCCAATATAGTAAGAACTCTTTTAATTGAATAATCGTCTAATTTGTTTAGTTTAGAGTTTTTTTTATCCCCCAATTTTAAATCCATTGGTTGATTAATACGAAATATATAGGATCACGATTTGATTAATTTAATACGCTTACTCTATTTGAGAATTTGCTAAAACATTTATGAGAGAATGAGTTAAATTGTATTGATGCTCTTGGCTATTATTATAGCCTACAAAAGATAACCTACACAATATAAACTCTATCATATAAACTTCCATAAATCTATCTTAGAATATCAGTAAGATATATTATTATCCTAAATATAATATCATAAGATCTATATGGAAAATATATCACAATAATATATTTTCCTATATTCCTAACACCCTCCCGCAATCGTAACGGCAGTAACACGAACGTTACGATTGGAAATTCGCACTTTGTTGAAGTCGATCGAGTTGCACCTCTTTGTTGATGTTGCCTTCAAATTTTATTTTTTTTTTATTTAAAAAAAATGAACTTTTGCTACCACGGCCCTTTGCTGGTGTCCATGGTCTTCTGTCACGGCCCTTTGCTGGTGTCCGTAATCTTCTTTGCCACGGCCCTTTGCTGGTGTCCGTGATCTTCTTTTGCCAGGCCCTTCGCTGGTGTCCGTGGTCTTTTGCAAATTTATTTTTTTTTTAATAAAAAAACGCCAAACATGGCTTTTCTTCATCTCCATGGAAATGCAAAAATGGAGGAAGCACACTCAAACACTTCAACCTTGTTAGAAAATTATAATTACAGAAAATTAGAAAACTAATTACAATAATAATACAAACAGAATAGGACGAGATTAATCTCTGTCCTTAGGATAATATTAGCCCCCACTACGATGCTGATGGGAATTCCTACGCTAATTTACCCCCAGGATTATCCTATTTCTACGAATGAAAACACAGCATAATTTTCACTCTCTCCATGGACATGTTTTTGAGAAGAACGTTTATCAGAATGAATATGAAAACTGATTATTTTTTACTGCCAATGAAACAATTATATAGAGATAAGTATGGCAGTTATTTTATCCCAAAAATAACTGCCTCCCTATATTATCCGAAAATTAAAAAAAATATTAATTAATTAATAGGCACATGTTAGTCATAATTAATTAACCGTCGCGCGCGTGCTAAGTGCTAAGTGCTAAGTGCTAAGTGCTAAGTGCTAGTCTATGATTAGTAAATATTCTGATAAATATACTACCAATCATCTACTAACAAGCCCATGATCAAGCCCACACAAAAAGGCTTACAAATCATAATACACATAGTACACACTAGTTAATAAACAAGACCAACCTTTCATATTCTTTCCATGTGGGACAATGCTCCCACAAAAATTTACTTGTTGAATACTACATACAACAATCCCCCACTTAGTCTTCACTCCAACAAAATTGTATAATGAAAGTATCTTTCGATTTGAACTTTCACTTAGTGAAAACAACTCAAGACCCTGAAAAATTAATGGCAGCTAAAAAGCTTTTGAGCCACAACTTCTAATGTTAAAGTCGGAGTTACCTCACACACAATTGTTTTAACACAACATGTCCAAAACAAGGTAGCACTATTATGTCCATGTGCTCCCCTGGTTTCGTAGATATTTCCAAAAGATTAAACACATACTTTTGGTAGAAGCGGCACCACTTCTTATATTTATATAGGTGAATTCTATTACCATAGAAACCATTAAGAGTATATTACTCACCCTAAAACATGCACTAAATAAATAAATATCTTAGTGCGAACCAATCAGTTATCAACAATTTGTTATTACCACATTGAACCTTTTAATCACGGGTACTCGCAAAAATAAGGTTGGGTTTCCATTGTTGCCGATTTAATTATATGGTCTCAATCCCATTTCACGACTTGTTCCATGAACCATATCCCTTGGAAGACCCTTTGTGAAAGGATCTGCCAAATTGTTACAAGATCTCACATAAACTACAGTTATAATCCCGTCGGATATTAACTGTCTTATGTAAGAATGTCTCAAACTGATATGTCTAGATTTTCCATTATAGATTTTATTATTGGCTCTAGACAATGTTGCCTCACTGTCACAATGCAAAGAAATGGTTGGCATAGGTTGTGGCCAAAACTTTATATCCAATAGCATATTTCTCAGCCATTCTGCTTCTTTACCTGCTGCTACTAAGGCTAAAAATTCAGCCTCCATGGTGGAATGAGTAATACAAGTTTGTTTCTTTGAGGCCCAAGAAACAGCACCACCACCAAGCATAAAAATCCAACCACTTGTGGATTTGTTATCTCCATCATTTGATATCCAACTAGCATCAGTGTATCCCTCAAGTACAGCTGGAAAATTTCCATAATGCAAAGCAAAAATTTTAGTTCTTTTCAAGTAACCAAATACTCTACCAATTGCTTGCCAATGATCTGTACTAGGATTGCTAGTAAATCTTGAGAGTTTGCAAACAGAAAATGCAATATCCAGTCTAGTACAATGAGTAGCATACATCAAGCTACCTATTGCACTAGCATATTCCAATTGCGCAACAGCTCTTCCATCATTCTTACTAAGTTTACATGATGTATCATATGGAGTATTAAATTCTCTAAAGCTTAGATGCTCAAATTTCTTAAGCATCTTATCAACATAATGAGACTGACTAAGAGAATAACCCCCACTATTTCTTTTAACTTTGATACCCAATATTGTATCAACTTCATTCAAGTCTTTCATCTTAAAGCATGAACTCAAATAATCCTTGGTTTCATTTATGCCTTTCATGTTTGTTCCAAAAATCAGCATATCATCAACATAAAGACATAAAATGATACCATAATCCTTTGTAAACTTAGAATATATACATCTATCTGCAGAATTATGCACAAAACCATGAGATAAAACTACAGAATCAAATTTTTCATGCCATTGCTTTGGAGCCTGTTTTAAACCATACAATGATTTAAGCAATTTGCAAACTTTGTTCTCATTTCCAGGAAGTACAAACCCTTCAGGTTGTTTCATGTACACCTCCTCATCTAAATCTCCATTTAAAAATGTTGTTTTAACATCCATTTGGTGAACATGCAAACCAAACAAAGAAGCTAAAGCTAATAGCACTCTAATAGATGAAATTCTAGCCACGGGTGCATATGTATCAAAATAGTCTATCCCTTCTCTTTGTGAAAATCCTTGTCCAACAAGTCTAGCTTTGAAAATATGTATTGACTCATCATCAACATTCTTCTTTACCTTAAAAATCCATTTGCAACCAATAGGTTTGGAACCAGGAGGCAAATCTGACAAGACCCAAGTTTTATTAGCCATTAAAGACTCCATCTCATCATTAATTGCCTCCTTCCAAAATGCAGCATTTCTAGAAGTAATTGCTTCTTGTAATGTTTTTGGTTCATCATTCTCAATTTCCACATTAAGAATCAAAGGAATTTTATTGGTAACAACATCTCTATTTCCTTCCACTAGAAAAGAAATTGCTTGAGAGTTAATGAAATCCGGTCCTAAATTCTTCTACTTTCTAGCTCTAACACTTCTTCTTGGTTCATTTGAATTATTAGGATTTACTCTTGTATTCCCACTAGAAGAAGAAGAATTTGTTTGTGGCAATTGCAATGACTCACTAATACTTTTGGAATCACCTTTAAATTTATTTTCAAAAAATTCAACATCTCTTGATTCCACTATAACATTTGAGTCTAAATCCAAAAGCCTATATGCTTTTGAATTTTCAGCATATCCCACAAATACACTTTTCAAAGCTCTTGGACCTAATTTAGTTTTCTTAGGGTCCGGGACTTTGTAATAAGCCAAACATCCCCAAACTCTAAAATAACTAATGTTAGGCTTTCTTCCTCTCCAAATTTCGTATGGAGACATTTTCATTTTCTTTGAAGGAATTCTATTAAGTACATGACAAGCTGTTAGCAAAGCCTCACCCCATAGATTCATAGGTAAATTGGAGTTAACAATCATAACATTCACCATATCACCTAAAACTCCATTTTTCCTTTCAGCCACCCCATTTTGTTGAGGTCTATAAGGTGCACTAACTTGATGTACAATACCATTATCTTCACAAAAAGAAGTAAATTCAGTAGGAAAATATTCCCCACCTCTATCACTTCGCAAGATCTTCAATTTCTTGCCCTTTTGTGTTTCAACCATGGCTTTGTAAATCAAGAACTTGTCATAAGCTTGATATTTTGATTTCAGCAAATACACATAGGTAAATTTAAAACAATCATCAATAAAAGTAATAAAATACCTATTTTCACTTCTAGTTAAAACACCATTTAACTCACAAATGTCAGAATGTACAAGCTCTAAAATTTCAGAATTTCTGTCCACCTTTGGAAAAGGTTTTTTCTTCATTTTCGATTGGACACAAACTTCACATTTATTTTTATGCTCATCATTATATGAAATCAGTCCATTTTTATTCATAAATTTCATTGTTTGATAATTAACATGTCCCAATCGATTATGCCAAAGATTAAAACTTGAACATTCAACAACATTAAAACTGAAATCAAAAGATTGCACACAAGAATAATTAGAACTTGCAACATTATTGATACTGATTTTAAACATACCATCACTTACATAACCTTTGCCTACAAAGGTTCCTGCCTTAGAAATAATAAGCTTATCGGACTCTATAACAACTTTGAGTCCTTTCTTACATAAAACAAAACCAGAAACCAGATTCTTTCTAATATCTGGAACATGTAAAACATTAGTCGGTACAACTTTCTTTCCAGAAGTAAATTGGAGTTCTACACTTCCTGTTCCAAGGACTTTGTTTGTGCGATGATCACCCAACAGAATTTCATGTCCTTCAACAACTTCAACATAATCCTTGAATAGTGAACGGTTGTTGCATACATGAGTGGTTGCACCGGAGTCATACCACCAATCATCATTCAAAGGGACAACAGTAGCCATGTGCAACTCTTGGATCATTCCAATGTGCAAATCAGAAATCATGGCAATAATATCATTGTCCCTTTCCTCAACAACATTAGCAGAAGTCACGTTTTCATCATTTTTCTTCTCATTTTGATTTTTGTTCTGTTCCTTCTTAGAAGGATTTCTGCAGAAACGTTTCATATGGCCTTTTTTCCACACTTGTAACACTCAAAATTAGACAGATCCCTTTTACCCTTTTTATTCGGATTAGAGGATTTGTTGGTGTTATCATTATTATTGGAATCATCATTAGCCTTTCTCTTTTTACCCTTCTTATTATTCTTCTGACTTACAGTATTCACTTTAGAACTAGATGCAATATTCATATCCTTCTCACGATTTCGAGTTTCCTCTTCAATTCGTAAGTGCTTTTGAATCTGTTCTAAAGTGAATTCCTCAGAAGTATGCAACAATTTTTTCCTGTAATCATTCCAGGAAGATGGTAATTTGGCTATGATCCCCCCAACAATTAAATTCTCGGGAATGGTTATGTTAAGGTCTTTAAACTTAGATATCAGAATCAGAAATTCATGAAATTGATCTAAGATAGAAGTACCATCGACCATAGTAAACTCAAAGAATTTAAAAGTTATGAACTTATCTGCCCCTTGTTTCTCTACATCATATTTGTACTCAAGGGACTGCCACATCTCCTTCGCAGACTTCATAGGAGTATAGAGATCATATAGGCGATCAGACAACGAATTTAGAATGTACCCTCTGCACAGCATCTCGTCTTCAGCACGATTCTTGCGTTGGACAACTTCCTCTTCAGTGTCTTTGTCTGATGGTTCTGGTAAGGCTTCCAGTTTAGGATCAAGAACATAGAATATATTCAAAGTGGTGAGTAGAAACGACATCTTCTCCTTCCAACGAAGGAAATTAGTTCCATCAAAACGGTCCAATTTGACAACATCATTGCCGAAAATCTTCATTGCTGCATCCATATTCTAATTCTATTATTATCCTAAGATTGTTAGAAAATTATAATTACAGAAAATTAGAAAACTAATTACAATAATACAAACAGAATAGGACGAGATTAATCTCTGTCCTTAGGATAATATTAGCCCCCACTACGATGCTGATGGGAATTCCTACGCTAATTTACCCCCAGGATTATCCTAATTCTAAGAATGAAAACACATCATAATTTTCACTCTCTCCATAGACATGTTTTTGAGAAGAACGTTTATCGGAATGAATATGAAAACTGATTATTTTTTACTGCCAATGAAACAATTATATAGAGATAAGTATGGCAGTTATTTTATCCCAAAAATAACTGCCTCCCTATATTATCCGAAAATTAAAAAAAATATTAATTAATTAATAGGCACATGTTAGTCAGAATTAATTAACCTAAGTGCTAAGTGCTAAGTGCTAGTCTATGATTAGTAAATATTCTGATAAATATACTACCAATCATCTACTAACAAGCCCATGATCAAGCCCACACAAAAAGGCTTACAAATCATAATACACATAGTACACACTAGTTAATAAACAAGACCAACCTTTCATATTCTTTCCATGTGGGACAATGCTCCCACAAAAACTTACTTGTTGAAGACTACATACAACAAACCTAACCAAATCACATATGATCATTCATATTGATCACATACACCAATAATAACCCACGTATCACATGGTTATTCCATAAAAAAAAAGATTAAATCAAAAAATAGAAATTTCAAAGAGCAATACTATTGCATAGCGGAAGCAAATTTATGAATCCCACCGGTGGGTTTAATATTCTAACCCACCAGCAGGGGGAGAATTTGTGTGAACGGTCCCAAGATTTAACCTGCTCTTGATACCATGCTAAATTATTTATGAGAGAATGAGTTGAATTGTATTGATGCTCTTGGCTATTATTTATAGCCTACAAAAGATAACCTACACAATATAAACTCTATCATATAAACTTCCATAAATCTATCTTAGAATATCAGTAAGATATATTATTATCCTAAATATAATATCATAAGATCTATATGGAAAATATATCACAACAGTATATTTTCCTATATTCCTAACAGAATTCTAGATCCGCCACTGCAACCTGTAATCATCGATTCTATAACGTGCTCTAAATTAATTCATCAGTTCACGTTACAGAGAGGGCATGGAATCAAATCATTTATGATTCCGATCCAACGCTACTCTCCTAGCCTTTATGAGCATGTTAATCTTCACCCATATATAAATTTTTTTACTATATTGAACTATTTTCCGAATACAATTTGGTATAAAGAAATTGTAAATATGGAAAAGAATCTAAAAGTTAAAATCAAAACCAAAACAGAGGAAAAAAGCATTAAGTTAGAGCCAACGAGTCCAACATCAGGATACTTCCTGAGTGAGATTGCAACACTCTATGTTCTTACAGTTTTTGAATCGGAGATCCCTATTGATACTTTAAGTTTCTACAATTTCTTCAATGGTGTTTTTCTTGACAGTCATCCCCGTCTTTCCTGTATTCCGGTAATATTACTACTTCATCCCTCTCCCTCACTATAACAATTTGACTGTTTTACTATTCACAAACATCAATTGGTGCGTTATATATAAGATTAACATTAAATACAACAATCTGCGCATAATTTTAACTTTCTTTAATTTTAATTTTAACCTGTTTATAATTAGGCATATTATTGTTCTGCTACTATCCCGATTTAGTTGTCTATGTTCTAGTTTATACACTTAGAGTACGATGCATCGCAAAGATATGTAACATGAGCCTATAGTCTTTCCCATTTGCAAGTCCTAGATGAATCTATGGCGTGTTTTATATTTCGGTATTTCCTACGTATTTTGTTACTTGCTTAATTCTCCATGCACGAAGTTTTAGGAGGAAAACTGGAAATTAAAGTACAGTAATAAATTATGATGAAATTAAGTAGAGTTGGTTGAATTTAAAAAAAAAACAAAAAAAAAAAACTTTAAAAGCAAAAACGAGTACAAGTGAGAAAGAGAGAAATATGATATGATATGAGGGGTCCATTAGTGGGATTGTAAAACATTATTTAAGTTTTTTTTTAAAAAAAAATAGTCAAGAGCAAGTAATAATAGACGGCTATTAAAGGAAAATAAACCAAGTAATAAATACGAATAGCATGGAGTATTATTTAAAAACGAGTACAAGTGAGAAAGAAAGAAATATGATATGATATGAGGGGTCCATTGGTGGGATTGTAAAACATTATTTAAGATTTTTTAAAAAAAAAAAATAGCCAAGAGCAAGTAATAATAGACAACTATTAAAGGAAAATAAAACAAGTAATAAATACGAATAGCATGGAGTATTATTTTTGGTGAAAAATAACACTCCAGACTATTATGAAACAATCTCTGCAATAAAAAAAAAAAAAAAAAAAAAAAAAAAAAAAAAGGTATCGTCATTGATATACCTATATCTTGAAAATTGATTTTGGCACACCCTAATTAATTTTGGCACACCCCTATGTGAGTAGAACATAAAAATTGTGCTCTCACATAGGGGTGTGCCAAAATCAATTAAGCGTGTATCAAAATCATTTCCCCTATATCTTTTGTACTCACATGAAAAGGCACCGTTATAATAAGTATGTGTATGTAGTACATTTAATTTTAAAAAACTTTTGTACTCTATATGCATTTGATATCCTACTATATTATTGTACATTGAGATAATTTTTATTGAATTTAGGGTAATTTTTATTGAATTTAGGGTAACTTTTAGACATTTTTTGAGTAACTTTTATCAATAAAGCATAAATAAGGACGATTTACGAAAATATTGTTAAATTGAAACTTATTTACCATTTTGCGTCGGCACTAAACTTATTTACCAAAATGCTGTCCACGTAGGATTGGGAATACGTTTGGGTCTATTTAATTTTAAAAATAACAAACCGCTACTTGAGGTAGCGGTTTTAATAGCTAAACTGCTATTCAAAGTAGCGGTTTTAATAAATATTTTACACAACTACATTAAAATTAAAACAAAAAAAGAACAGAAGACCACTACCCACATCACGCACCTCGACATCATCACTGGACCACCTCTCCATCCCCACGAGACCACCACCCACATCATGTCGCTGTCGTCATCTCCATCCTTCTACACACCAGAGGACGACCCAATTCACGTCGCCACCACCAATTGATGAATAAATTGGTTTTCTGATATTTACCCCCAAATTCATAAGGTATTTAGCCCTAATTTTTTTTTCATTAATTCATTAGTTGTTAAATTAAATTTTGTTGTTGTTTGGTTTGAAATTCACTTCGCCACCACCACTTAATGTCAAAATCAATACAATAAACTCATTTTGGTATGGAAATTCGGTGCTATAATTTCGTATTCCTGATTGTTAGGTTTTGCTTTGGTTGCTTTTGTTTTTCTTGGATTTTGCTTTAACTACATGCCAATTTAGCTATTCTCAGCAAGATTACCATGCTTGGAAGATATAATTAATCAACATGGCATCCTTTTCTTATTATTAAAAGTGTTGGATATGTACTTACTAATTTATATAAAATACTACAATTGCCATATTGTACTGTATATTGGATGAATGGTGCTTTAGTTGTCAAACTCAATTTATAAATTGTGAAGTTAATTCCAAATATAATCAATTACATGGTGCTCTAATTTGGCATTTTGTTACAATAGTGCTATAAATTGACAATCTATTTTAATAGTGGTTTCACTTGGGATTGTAGTACAATTTGGAGCTCTTTATTTTGATGTTATTATAGTGCTCTAACTTGACACGTTGAATAATTATTTATAGTGTAATTTAGAATAAAATGAATGTGATTATTTTTATTTTTTTTTAATGGTAAGGTTTTGTTTAGAAATGGAAGAACCTATTGTATGTTATTGGGGCGGAGAAGTTACACAAAGTAATGGAAATGTCACGTATAAAGGTGGTGAGAAGAAATTTGTTTTTCTCAAATCTTCCATGAATTTCTCAATGTTTTTGAACAAGCTATATGAACTTGTGAAATGTGATCCAAAGAATGTAAAATTAAAGGTGCAGATGAAATATCCTACTTTTGGTTCATATACACTTCTTCCCCTTGATGACGACATTTCTTTAAGAGCCATGTGGGTTGGTATATCAAAGTTGTCGGGTTCCACTATGGAGTTATAGATTGACCAAGTTGTCAAGCAGGTAGTAATGGAGACTAGCTTGGGGTTATATCCTAGCTCCAATTCTAGTATACCTCTCCAAATGACTGGAACAAATTCAGAGGTAGCAGTCTCTTTCACAAGATTGCTGACTGATGATGTTTATGTTCAACAACATATTTCGGAGCTAACTTCTCCCACACCAACTCCTCACACAGGAACGTCCTCCAGAAATCCCTCTCTAGATGCACTCGATTACATTAATCTTGAACAAGTTGATGGCTTTGGAACCATAGTAGATAATTTGGATAGTGATGAAGGTGATGAAGAAGGTGCATGTGAGGAAAATGACATTGTCATAAAAACAAATGCTCCTTCACAATCTTTTAATGTCATAGAAGAAATGGATCAAACACTTTGTGACTCATGGATAACATGGCTAGGAAACAACACTTATAATGGCGAATTCAGTGTTGGTCAGGAGTTTGACTCCTTACATCAACTGAAAGATATAGTAAAATCATACTCCATCACTAAAAATCAATCATTTCGAGTTGTTGAGTCCGAGCCATCAAAGTATGTTGTGGAGTGTAAAAGGAAAAAGACACACAATTGTCCTTGGAAGCTGCGTGCAATTAAGGATCCAATGTTACCTATTTTTCGAGTTGTGGAGTATAATGGTCCGCATGCAAATAATTGTGTAGGTGACATTATCTCCGGTGATCATCAAAATCTCACTTTTGAATTTGTGTGAAATATCATCTTAGATCTTGTACGAGTTGATCCTTCTCTTAAAATACGTGCTATTGTACAAGTTATTAAGGATCGAACCAAATTCTCTATAACTTACAGGAAGGCGTGGCTAGCAAAACAAAAGGCAATTGCCATTATATTTGGTGATTGGGAGAAATCGTATGAAGAGTTGCCTAGGTACATGCAAGCTTTACAAGAAGCCAATGAGGGAACTGTTGTTCATTGGAGCACAATAGAGACATCTAATCCGTCTATTTATGTGTTCAAAAGAGTTTTTTCGGCTTTTAAGCCATCTATTGATTGATTTCGGCACTGTAGACCTCTAATCACTATTGATGGGACTCACTTATATGGGAGGTACAAGGGCACCTTGCTCATAGCAATGGCAACTGATGCAAACTTTCAGCTTTTCCCTCTTACCTTTGCGATTGTAGAAAATGAGTCTATCGAAACTTGGTCATGGTTCATGGCATGTCTTAGGCAATCAGTCACTCAAAGAAGAGGTTTATGTGTCATTTCTGATCGACATGCAGGGATATTAGATGCAATGAATAAGGAGGGGAGTGGATGGGAGGAGCCTTTTGCACATCATAGGTTTTGCATTCGACATCTTGCATCTAACGTGGGAAAACACTTAATGGATGCATTCTTGTTGCATGCGGTGAATGTGGTTTTTTTTTCTTTTTTATGGTAATAACTTAGTCATCATAATGTAGATGACATGGAAACCATATACCGAGGAGGTTCTTGCATCCTTGCCTGAGATATGTCGATCCGATCATAATGTGATGCGCACTTTTGCGCCATTGATTTGCTTTGATATTGTGGAGTACCATCTGCCAGGACGAGTTATGCGACAGTTTGGTTTGGAGCAAACGATCCCTACAACTCTTGACACAAGTGATAAGTTGCATAAGGTGGATAAACGTAAGCGCAACAAAAACTATGACATTGTGCATGAAAAGTATATAGAAGAATGGCAGAAGCGTGAGGATAGAGTAGTTTCTGGTCATCCATTTAGTGGTCGCACATTAGTACAGTACATGAATTGGTATCGGTGCATCACTAGGACCATCATCACTCCTCCTACACAAATCCGCCCTTCTACTCATTACCAACCTGCCTCGACTGAGTTGGTGTTGGTAAGATTGACCAAGTTTCTAATTTTTCTTTTAGCATGTTAAATGTTGTAAACTTTAAGTTTCTAATTTTTCTTTTAACATGTTAAATGTTGTAAACTTTTCAAATTTTTGTTGTTGTTGTTTTTTTTTCTTTCTTTCTTTCTTTTTTACAGTCACATGCATTAGGTGATATAGCCCAAAGGTGCATGCGAATTATTGAGGTTGTTGGTGATTTGCCTATGGAGAAAGCATTACCGTTGACTTTAGAATCCTTTTTGCACTATAAATGCATATTGTGCTGACACATTAACAAGGGTCGATCAACCTCACCTCCTCCAAGATAGTGAAGTTCTTCGGTCACCCTCGGCCTCCACACCATCTAGCTCCTCCTTGAAAAGTGTGTTTCACTCTCAAGCACCCCGCAAACGAAAACATAGGGATCTTCGTGGTCGAGGACGTGGACCTTCTTGTCAACTGAGCACAAGTTTTTCACCTTCAGTTTCTTCTCCTGCTTTGACTACTACACCTATGCTCTCATCTAGTACTTTGACTACATCTACACCTCTGCCCTCTTTTACTCCTCGACCCTCTTTGCTTGCAACCACTAGTTCACCCTCGTTCACATCCATGTTGCCACATAATTATTCTGGTATTTCTACTCATCAAGTAGCCTATTCTACAGTTGTATCTCCACCACTAGTTTATGCTCGACGAACCACTTTTACTACATCACCCATTTTGGAAGTGGATGAGTCAAATTTTGAAACACCATGACCATTACATCGTAAAAAACGCCATTAGAGTAGGAGATGTAAATTATTTTGCTTCATCAGAACTCATTTTGGTATATTTGTAATACTTGCTTTAATTAATTCAATGTTATTATAAATATTTTGGTTTGTTTGTGAACATTTGTTATTGGTTGGAATTGTTTTAAATAGGTTAATTGTATAAGTTGTGTGGATGTACATGACATGATATTGTTACAGGTTGCACAAATGAGGGGATGATGCCTACAGGTTTATCAACTTTTCGATTATAATTTTCAGCTTAAAACCGCTACCTCAAGTAGCAGTTTATGTACTAAAACCGCTACTTGAAGTAGCGGTTTATATACCAAAACCGCTACTTGAAGTAGCGGTTTATATACCAAAACCGCTACCTCATGTAGCGGTTTATGTACAAAAACCGCTACTTGAAGTAGCGGTTTATATACTATAACCGCTACCTTAAGTAGCGGTTTTAAGCTGAAAATATATTTTAAAAAATTAACAAAGTTTCCCGATCCTACGTGGACAGCATTTTGGTAAATAAGTTTAGTACCAACCCAAAATGGTAAATAAGTTTCAATTTAACCATATTTTGGTAAATCGTCCCATAAATAACTTATATTTATATCAAGGTAAATTTCATTCATTACAACGTAACTTTTGATCATTTAAGATAATTTTATAGCGGATGTTCAATATTTTATCATATATCCAATGTTTTTAAATATTTATCATTTTTTCGGATTTTTTTGAAAATAACACCACATATTTTGAAAAAAATGGATTATAACACCACCTTTTCTCAAATTTGTATTATAACACCACATAAAAATCAAAAAAATTGATTTCACCACCTACTAACGGATTCCATCCAAGAATCCGTTAGTGGGGCTCACTTTGGACACATGTCACTCATCTATTGGATTAAAAAAATTAAATATATTTTTTTAAAAAAAAGAAAAATCCTAAAATGCTAAACCAGCCACCACCGTCACCCAAACCTAACCCCCGAAGCTCCGAGACCGTCGCTGAACCACCGTCGTCACCATACCCTACCCCAAGACCTCCGATACCGTCACCACACCATCGAAACCCCAACCCACACCGTCGCCGAACCACCATCAGCCGAAACCAAACCCAACCCAGCCGAAACCTCCCAGCCACTTCGCTTCCTCCCTGAAAAACCACCCCTGTACTTCCGCTTCACCTTCAAACTGGCCGAAAACCACTTTCGAAGCCCCAGCTGGGTCGATTTTGCGGTGAGGCGACGACATGGGTGGTTTTCGGTGGTTCGTGGTAAGGGTTTGCACGGATTGATTGGTGGGATTTGCGGTGGGGGAGGGGGCTGTGGTGGGTGGGGATGATAGGCGGCGATTTCGCTGGTGAAGGAAGGGTTGTTGGCGTCAGTAAGAGTCTCCGGCTGTGGATTCGCGGCCGCCGGTGGTGGGCTAGTGGCTGGGTTTGGGTTATAGGGTGTTTTTATTTTTTAATTTTTTTTACCTTTATTTTTTAAACCAATGTCTTATTGCCACGTGTCTATCTTGGGTCCCACTAACGGATTTCATCCAAAATTCAGTTAGAAGGTGGTGAAATCTAATTTTTGGATTTTTTTGTGGTGTTATAATCCATTTTTTGTAAAATTTGTGGTGTTATTTTCAAAAAAATCCTTTTTTTTACATGATTGTGTTCATATTTGTACATTTATAACTTTATGAGCAGATTGAAGGGAAAAACGGAAGAAAATTTTGGAAGAAAGTGAAAGTAAATGTGAAAGATCACATAATAAATCCCCAATTTTGGCAGAAGGTCTATCACCAGAAATATATAGTAAGCATTTAGAAGATTACGTATCTGAATTAGCTACAACACAATATCAACTAAATAAACCTTTGTGGGAAGTTCACACTTTCAATTACCCTACAAACAATGCAACTTCAACTTTGATTATTAAGTTTCACCATGCTATTGCTGATGGTGTCTCACTTATGGGAGTTCTCCTCACTTGCTGTCGAAGAGTCGATGATCCTACGCTTCCTATCGTTATACCCTCGAGAACTAGCTTAGAAGGTGAACACAATGTTACCTACAATGTTATGAAAACATTGGCCATTGTACCTAGATTTCTTTCTTCTATTGTTACTTCGACATATGATTATGGACAAACTCTTAGGGCGGTGCTGTTTGAAGACGAGTGTACTCCAATTAGGTCAGGGAAAACCAACATGCTTCTTCCAAACTCGGCTAGAGTTTGTTCAGTCATTCTGCCTCTCAGTGGTATCAAAAGAATTAGGTCACTTCTAAATGTGGTAAGGCAACTAACATTTGAGACAAATAATTACTTGATTACTTCCCCTCTATTCTTTTTTACTTGACCAGTTTCTTTTATCACCCTTGCCAGTGCAAAATATATAAAAGTTATATTTTATGATAGTACTTATTGAGACAAATTCAAAAAGATTCCACATGAATATGTTTTTCCTACATATTATTCTCAAAAAACTGTCAAAAGAGGAGTGGTGATAAATAGTGTAAAAGTCAAAGCGGGTCAAGTATAAAAGAACGGTAGAAGTATTACTTTGTAAGAGAGTCACATAAGACAATGATGTTGACTAAAATATACTTCCTCTGTTTTTTATTACTTGACCCGCTTTGACTTTTACACTATTCATCGCCTCTTTTTTTACCGTCTTTTGTGAATAATATGTAAGGAAAAATATATTCATGTATGATGTTTTTGGATTCGTCTCAATAAGCAGTGGCGGATCCAGGATTCTAAGTCAGGGGTAGCACACTAAACACTAGAGAGAGAAAAAAACTCAATATAGTACCGAATAACTTGAAACTCAAATTAAATTTACGATAATTTTAACATATTTAGTTAAATGATAAATCAGGTTCATTTTTTAAATTATTCCTTGTGTTATTGTAAAAGTAACCATTTAATTTATGTATCTACTTCGCCTAAATTTTGCAATGAATTTATTTCATGGATAAATTATATACTGCATAGTGCATATTAGATACTCCCTCCGTTTTTAAATACTTGTTTCGTTTTTTCATGGGCGGAGTTTTAAGAGAAATTGAAAAAAAATAATAAATCAAGGAGGTAATGGGGTAAGAGGAAGAATAAAAAATTGTAAAAAAACAAAAGTAGTCGAGAGAATTGAAGAAGAGAGAATATAAAATTAGTAAAATATGATTTAGGTTGGGTCCACTAGGTCAGATAAATAAATAAAATATTGTATAAGCTTTCCAAATAAGAAAATTGAGCAAGTATTTAAAAACGGCCGAAAAAAAAGTGAAGCAAGTATTTAAAAATGGATAAAGTATCAAAATACTCTGTACAACAATCAAATAAAAATTAGTTCAAATTAAGCTAGTACTAATTTTCTCCACGAATTTTGTATTAATATTATTAATCAATTTTTAAAGGAACTTATGTTTATCTAATTTAGAGAAGTGGAATCTTTGAAAGATAAAACCATTACAATACTGAGGAATAAAAGCCAAAAAAAAAAAGAAAAATGCAGTACTGAGTGGCGAGTACTTAGGAAAAAAAAAAAAAAAAGATGGGACGGGATTCGAACCACTAACCCCCCGCTAGAATAAGGTACATCTATTTTAGACCTTTGTTACCACTGAAGCAAGATAAAACTATCTCATACAAAAGGTAATGTTTAACAAATATACAAAATACCAAACTGGAGGCTTTTTACATAATTTTTTTTTTAAAAAATCTGGGGGTAGCACGTGTCCCCCCAGGTTCCAACGTAGGTCCGCTAGTGCCAATAAGTACTATCATAATATATAACTTTTATAATTTTTACTTATGAAGAATTTAACTTATTGATCGTTAAAGTTTTACATTGGCAAACGTGATAAAAGAAACAGATCAAGTAAAAAAGAACAGAGGAAGTATGTTTTAATATTTGTGACCTTTTTCACAGACTATATGTTAATGATCTTGTTACCGGGATAATCTCATTTGCAACTTGGTTGTATATCTAAGAAGTAGACCAAGGACGAGTACATAATTGGGGCCGAATGACCGCATCAATAGTCTTCAACATTAGGAGTATCAAGGGATATGCAACTTCAGAAGAAACGCGTAAGGGTAATACATGGGGAAACAAAATCTCTGTTATTGAATTATCACTCCCAAAATTTAAGGAGGATCAGCTTACAAATCCACTCAATTTTGTCATGAATGTCCATAAAATTATGAAGAGAAAAGTGGAAAGTGTTGGTGCCATTTATCTCGCAGCATGGACCCTTGATGCTATAAGGATATTCGGAGGATTTAAGGTTGGCCATTTATGCATCTACATTATTAATTGTTTATTATGAAATTGTTAAATATTCATTGATCCACGTCTTAGACCTTTAACATCTCTGAAATGTTTTGACTTTTCGAGAGTTTTAGAAAAGTTAGTTGAATTTATTAAATAGGTAGTGGGGTATAAAATAGTTGAGGAGGGAGAAAAGAGTAAGGGATATTGTGAGGACCGTTAGTTATTAGAATGTTATTTTAAGAGGGATACCCAGTCAATTCCCAAGATAAACAAAAGGGGTATAATTGTCTTTTCAAGTATCAGTGGAGATGTATATGCGTCTTTTCATGTACTAGTCGAGGGGTACATGTGTAATTTCCTCACCAAATAGTAAAAGCAAAAAAACAAACAGTAATTGGACAGCTCACCAAAAGTACTGAATAAATAACTCTGTTTTTTCAATATATTTACAAAAATGTCATCAGATTAACAAAAATTCATTTATCTGGCAGATTAACTTGTATTTTCCCTTATTTTAAAAACCAGGGAAAATATTATGAGGAAATTAGAGAGAAGTTACTAAAAAAGAAAATGTTTCATTTATTTAAACACAGTCGGAAAAAGAAAACATTTTATTCATTTACAAACGAAGGCCGGGTAGGTATCACTTTTGACCAAAAACAATATTTTATTTCATAATATAGTCACTTAAAAAAAATCAATACACTTTTATTAATTATTACGTCTACTACATTCATTCCAATAATATCTCAACAATTCACATATATGTTCACCCTTCTATTACATCCGTTCCAATAATATTGAAACAATTCACATATATTCATATATTTGTCATTAA